GTTCAGCCTCACAGTAAAAAGTGGAATTTTGCCAATAATAAYGCATAATGACTTTTCCCGTTTTTGTGGTGTTTCATTATGTGTTATTGGGTTTGGTGTGCATAGTGCACCTATAGAGACGCCAACAATTCTTCGATATTTTCCAAAAAATATAGACATTCGTCTTTTTGTTCTATTAATGTGTCGATATTCATCCAAANAAAACAAACTATAATAATTGCATAATATATAACACAATATATGCAAAACGAAGAACATATTTAATTATATTGATGTAATAATATTAGAAATATTATAAACGTAACGTCTGCATCTCTCCAGTCAGAGTTAGACTATACCTCGGTATAATATATATATATCACAACATCGGTCAGTCTACTCAAACGAGTTTTATCAGACGACTGAAAGAATTTTAGAATTGCGGATAGATCGAAACACTTTAAAAGTAGATATATAAATATAATATGTATAAAACAATATTACGGTAAAAATAAAAAAAAATTATAAAATCAGGACAATATTCGCATTGTTTGCTTTTATTTGAAATCCTATATGATGTGTGTAAGTAGTACTATGTATCAATTACATATAACTATCACTCGGAATTTTATCACCACTTCAACAACCTATATCCATTGTTCACAAAATTAATTAAAAAAATCGATATCTAGGTTTCGGATTTATATTTTCAGCAATCTGACTGTGGTTTGTAATTTGCACAGTACATAGTTGAAAATAGCTAGCGTTTGTAATTTGCACCAAAGTTAGTATCTATTGCCCTATTGGTGATGGGCACTATCGATAGTTAGAATACTATATATTATTAAAATAATATAAGCATTTTTAAAGGTTTTTAGTGTATTATTAGTTATTTTAATTATAGATTGACGTACTATTTTAATACGAATTACTCATCTAAATTTAACCGAAAAAGACAAAGTTCAATATAACGAATTTGTTTTTTTTTCAGGTTGTACTTGTACTTTTCAAATTGATAAATAAACTATATTTAATATTTATGATGTTAATAATACTAACGTAGAAATAGGCGTAATTACTAATTGCTAATTATTAATTGGCAAGCGAAATTTACGGAATATATTGTGTCTTTAGCTTTTCATATCTCAATACATTATATTCTACTATCAAAACTTGTACAATTATTCTTTCGATAATAGGTACCTATCTTATTTTTATCGATTTTAATTTTGGAGCAAATAACATTAACTATTTTATTTACTACCTGAGATGGTACAAATTACAAAAGCAATTTAAAAGTATTTGTGCAAATTACACATGTACCTAGTAAACTAATAAATAATTAGAGCTAATGTTGATGCAAATTAAACACACACGACGAGCCAAACACTTTGAGTCTAAATTGGTCATTTCAGATTTATAGTAATGTAATAATATAATATGAATTTTTCAGTACAAATTTTGGCATGACAAAAATCCATGTGAGGAAGTCCAACGGTAATAATTATTTCGATGGAACACATTAGTGTCGGTCATACTTGTTCCTAAACCATTAGTTCGGCTAGACTGCGGTGGCGCCAAAGTTCTCATTATAGTCATTTTCATATACGCTGAGTGGTGGAAATTATATATAATATATATATGTATATGTTTGGATCTACCCCTAAACCGTGTTTACACTGCATTATAAAAAATGAGGACATTTACACACTGCTGCATATGTCAAATAATATTTTCCAACTCATTTAATGTTATACAATGGCAGTGATCATATTATAGATTCCCACGAGAACCCTTACTGACCGTCAATGCATCGGATCTACCTGTATAATATCATACTCGCTCCTGCACAGAAAAAGACATATTATTGCTGGTTTCTTTCCCATTTCAATCAAATCCTGTGAACATTGACCGATATGCACGTACAATAATAATAATATTAATCAATTTTATAATAATTAGGTGTTACAACTAGAAAGGGAATCTTTAAGTTTTTACTTATTTTTATTGGTTTTATTTAACTTTACTCGGATGAAAAATGTGATAGACGATTTGTCAATCACAAATTTAATGGGAAAACATTTATTTTGCATATTAAAGCATATTTTGGACATAACAGAATATTTATCCTGTCTCTCACGGTTTATGATATATTCCGTCATTGTTCATAGAAAATCATACATTTTGTTTATCACTCGAGTTGTGATATTTTTATAATAAAAAATTTTTCTAGGTTAAAAAAATAATTAGACTTAATAAGAATGATAAAATTAAAAATCATTGAATTATTTATATTGTTTCTGTTCAAATAATTCACCTGTTACCATATAATAATGGCGCATAACAGTTATTTATTGTTTTTATTGAACTATTTTAGAAAAAAAAAATATATATATATATATATTATCAGCATATTTACAAGTTTAAGGAATATATTTTAGAGAATATTTTAAAATTTGTTTAGAACATTTTAGCATAATATTTTAAACTTATAAGAACCTAAAAATCCGCTCTTTAATTAGAACATAACCACAATTTGCACACGAATGGATTAAAATTAATAAAACCATAAAAATATGATGACGTAGGTATATATTTTCATACACACATGGTAGTTGTGGCATCCGCCAGAGATTTATCTCAACTTCACGGGTTCTATATACTTTTGTGTTTATTATTATAATATGCCCATGGGGTCTCTGCTGCGTTGAAAAACGATAACAATAGAAAGACGAACGCCTTTTGAGACTTTCTCCGTTTGATCGTCGCTCGAATACAATATATAGTATGATATACATATACTATGTATTTATTATACTTGTACGAAATGGAAGTAACTTTATATAATAGATTATGCTGTGTAGAGGTTTTTTTTTCAAGGACATCTCGTTTTTGTGAAGAAACGGATTTCGGCAGTCCAAAATAAGCACCAAGAAAACTGGAAAAATTTTTTTTTGTTATACCTACTCGTATTACATACTATTCGCTGAAATATCCACCGAAAAAGCCACTCAAAAGCAACATAACTTCGGTTTAAGTATCGGAGAAAATAACGTAATAAACAATAATACCATTATGGGTAGCTACGGCGGTACTCTTACAATTAGAAGGGGTTGGGGGAGGGGGAGTGTCATTCCATCCCGACGGCGCTGTGCAGTGGGTAAAACAATGTTTGGAGGTGTACGACTAACGATCGCACYCACAAAGGTGGTTCATTACGATGTATAATAATTATTATTATTCAGTATTATCGGTACACTCTACTATGTGTGTGTTTTGTCGGATAAAATATCGTAATAATAATATTGCGTTTGGAAATCCACGCCCCTGCGAATATCGGATGTTATTCGATATTATTGATCCGCTGTATCGTCGAGTCGTTGCGGTTTCCAAGAAAAATATTTTTTTACATTACTATGCGTAATAATAATAATAATAATGTAATTATCTTGCGTAGTACTTAATTTTCCACTATACAAAAAAAAATAATAATAAACTGACAAAGAGACGATAATATTATTATTATTATCAGAATTAACGTGAAATGGACAAACAACGGCAGACGCCAAACAGAATAATAAATTAAAAACAATTGGTTCTTTTTTAATAACAATTTTTAATTCAACTATCAAAAAAAATAAAAAAAAAAATAAAAAAAAAATACAAATAATAATGATCAGTTTTACAAAATAATAATATCGTTATGAATATTACACTGTTACGCTATAATAGGTACACACATTCACTCAAATACGACTTAGTGTTATATAAAATAATAATCTAACGTACAAATTGCATTTTGGTATATTGTAATAAAATAAAAACAGGAATTGTTATTTTTCAAGTTCATTAACGAACGCAATAATAATTTATTTTCAAACAAGTCTAAATAATCAGATAATTTTCTTAGTTAACATTGCACGGCAATTTAAATAACATAATTATGTAACATATATATATATATATATATAAATAAATATATGTATTTGCGTGATATCTACCTTAACTAATAGTTAAACATTTCTATATTTTCATATTTATTCTATAATTTATAGATGCGTCAGTACATCACGTCATATCATATTAAATTGGGTTCAAAGAATTTCTAATAATTAATATTTATTATGTTATATTATTATCTGTGAAGCACGCGTAACAATAAACTGTTTTTCATTTTTATTATATCTAATCGCGGCAATCAGGTGATGGGTACAGGTAGAGCTCACACATAAAAATAAAATCTACCTATACAAATATTATTACTACGCTAATGTCGCTAATAGTATAAGAACGAAGTTTTAAGCAATTTTTGTTCGACTCTGATTTTCATTAAAATAAAAATCTACCATTAAAAAAAAAAGGCCATAGGAACGTCGGTTAACATTTTATAATAATGAATATTTGCGAGAAAAAAATACAAAACGCATGACTTGTTAGACGACGGTCAATGATTAATATTATGTTTTCAAAATGTTTAAAGTTGCGTGTTTTGTTCGAATGGGTAAAATTTCAAAGTATACATGAAATAATGTGAGAGTAATATAGCATAACATCATAATATTATACGTAATTAGGTATGGGGTGGGCCCACGTCTCTACTTAAACAGAACCTAATGCTCAATATAATATAATCAAAAGTCTAATTCGATAAATTATAGCTAGCACCTTATTTGGTATTAATCGTATGTTTTACTTTAAAGCTCGGTCCGTAAAGACCAAACAAAACCATTTCCTGCTCTTGTAAGGCCTGTTGCTCTATACTTTCTATCCTCGTCACACACACACACACACACACACATATACATAACATAGACTATGAAACATGTGATCCGCTACTTACCTATATTATAGATGCTAATCCCTAATAATACGATTGTTTGACTAGGTCGATTTGTGATATTTACACATAATACAACACGATCGTACGTATAACGTACACATATAAAGTATTCATTATCCGTGGTACTATTATTATTGATGTTGTTATTATTATTATAATATTGTTATACAATAATAACAGCGTATCGTGCGAACGCGAGTGACAAAGTGTCGACGAAAAGCCGTGGTATTCGGTAACATTTTGTACAGAAAAACATTAAATTAATACTTGGAAACTGGTCGGTTTTTTTTTTACAATGTAAAGAATAATAGAAATAAAAATGTTGAAAAAAACAAGTTTTTATCTGCAAGCTACTCGCGATGAGTTATTTAAAAGAATGTAACGATTATTTTTTGCGTGAAAACAACAGCTACGACGACGATCACGGAGAAGCTTGTTCTCGTGGTTGGTATATTTAATATTTTTTTTTACTCGTCGTTACGAGCTAGTCTGTTCTCGACGTCCTTGTATCTTGTCCGGCTAACACTCGCCCACGCTGGGGTCACACGCAGTTGGAATGATAACAACAACAACAATAATAATAATAACAATAATAGYTGGAATATACTATAAAAATATAATAATAACACATATCATGTCGTTATATATTGTGCCATCTCGTACACCAGACACATGGCTGCGATATACCACCAACGCGTTCAAAATGATAAAATCAATAATAATTCTTTTTTTTTAAAGTCTTTTTCACATGACATCGAGCAAACGGATTTACGTGACAACCCGGTGGGCAGAAGCATTCCTGATGGCCGCGGCGTGATTGCCGCGTTTGTGTAGCTCCTTTTCCTTGTCGGCATGGAGAACCGCATCGGCAGGACAACGGGAAGGTGGTGCCTCCACGTAACCACTCTCATCGCTGTCCTCCTCCTCCGATAAGGAGTCTAGATCCATGGTGATTTTCTTGCATGCGTCTGATCCACCGCTGGATATGCTCTGTAGGCTGGGCGTGGATTCGTCGTCCGGATATCCACAGTCTTTATCCTCATCCAAGTCCACTCCATCTACATCCAAATCATCGTCACCGTCTTCATCCCGGCAGCCTTCGAACAGGAGCTTCCGATTTTTCACCAGGTTGTTGTAGGCGCCAAGCAGCTCTGAGTCCGAGCTTATTCGTTTGAACTGATTGCAACGTCCACCCACGCCACCACCTATGCTCTCGAATAGCTTCTTTCTATCTCGGACTAGACTGTTGTATTTGTAGCACACGTCTTCCGGACCTTGCGGACAGTCGACGATCACCTCGTTGTACTTGGGAAGCAGTTCGTGTTGCTGCTGTTCGCATATCGTTGACGACGAAGAGGACGAAGTTGACTCTTGATCTTCGGCTACGACGTCCTGGTAAGACGGTGGTGATTCGCTTGAATCACAATCTATATTTTGGTACGATTGTGCACCATCGTCTATCAAACCGTGGTCCCCGAGCTGCAGGTTTTTGGTGAGTCGGTTTTCGATCTCGTTCACCATTTCAGTGGCATTGGTAGTGCCATCGGCGGAGGAATTAGTGGTGGTAACGGTAGCAGCAGTAATGGTGGCGGCAGTGGCAGCGGCCGTTTCTCTGTAACCGTGGAGTCCACCCAACCGGTTGCGCAGTGTGCCTGTCCGCAACCGGTTCTCTGCTCGGCACCTCCTAAACGTCGCACAAGGGTCAGCCGGTTCTTCGTCCTCCTCCAGACTCTCTTCGATGGACACAAGCCGTGGCGCCGACTTCGACCGTTCCAGCGGCGGCCTGTAGTTGTGCGACCCGGTAGACAACATGATCTTGCGCCGGGGCAGCGACGGGTTCTCGTACACACTGTTGGCCAACGACAGTCGTGCGTTCTGCCGACTGATCTTGTCCCGCTTGAACTCACTGAGCGCCTGCGCCAAGCGACCACGCAGCTGGCCCGCAATCTGCCTAGCAACCGACTCTTTGGTACACACGACCGCGTGGCATCGGAGTTCCTGCTTGAGCTTGCGGCCCTCGTGCCGGTACACCCAGCAGAATATGCGCGGGAACTGTGGTGACGCCAGGCAATAGGTTACTCGGTGGCTCCAGTATTCGGTCAGTCCGTGCTCCTTGGTGAACGCCTTCAGTCCCGACTGAGTGATGGTCAACTTCATGTGCACATCCGGTTTCTGGTTACACGTGTAGTTTTTCCAGAGGCTGCACAGCGGTTTCTCCACGCACRTTTCACCTGGAATCACAAAATATTTAAAAGTTTAGATATGGTTAATGTCAGATGTTTGGCCGAACAAAAACTATATATCAGAGGTAAATAAGCCGTCACAGACTATAGACATCAATTAATTTACGACTATATTGAGATCAAACTATTGACCGATTATCGTCATTGGTGTACGTTAACTATATTATGTGGTCGAATTAAATTGTTTGAAAATTTCGCAAATATATATATACAATAATATTATATCGATTGCATTTTTGTATTTTTTTTTTACGGATCTCTACTCACACTGTGTTCGTTAACAGTGAACAGCTAATAGGTACACATACACCGAAACTGTCAAAATAGGTAGTTATTATTTCCAACGCTCATAACATTATTATCATCACCCTTCGCGGTACACATGTGTACATCATTAGTTTGTAAGAATATTCCTATAACGAGTAAAGGAAGGTTCGGTTTGTTTGAGCGAAGCACTCTCAATTTGGCAACCGGCAACTTATTATATATTATGATGGCATTATTATGCGCTGGCTTTTCCTAGCTGCATGGCGCGTCCGTTGTTGTGCAAAAAGACAATAATAAGTCATATGGTACTCAGACCACGATTCCCAGTCTCAACACCCCCTCTTGGTCCTCAATAAGTAACTTGTTATTGCGCACGCGTACCAATACCGGTTCCGCGATTGAAACGTCGCGTATACAGTGTGGGTGTGGTATATGAATGTGTATGTGATGGCGATGAAGGTTAGGATGACAATAGTACAACAATATTTTGATTAAACGTCCGTGCTGAATTCGTGTATAAAAAATAATTAACGCCGCCTTTTTAATTACCTACCTGGAATGGTGCCTAGTGCGGCAGCTGAATTCGAGAAGATTTTCCACAACATATATTATTATTATTACTAGAATATAAACGCACACCCATCCACACACACCTAAATATTATTTTGCATAAATACCGTTGTATATATAATAACGCGCAATGTCATCACAATGTTTGGTGATGCAATATTTTTATGCATATGTGTATCAAGTTCATCCATGTTCTCGTATTACATCCTATACCTATTATCTGTCACCATTACTCTGCAATTGATTAAGACGACGGGGTCAATCATTTCTTATAACAAGGCCGTTGTGAAATTTTTATTTGACAAAAATTTAAAAAAAAAGTCGGGTAAATACCATAAATTCTGCGTAGTAATTAAAAACAATTAATAGGTATTTTTATATGGAAGTCTTGTGACCTAAAATTATTGTGTATTATATTTTTCGATAAAAAGAAGGTTAAAGCTACACAGGACACCGCCTTGAGATGACAAGTACATACAATGCGGCCGGCAACATATTCACCTATAAAATAACGTGTTCGGACACACAAATCAATGTAGTCACGGTTCACGGACAATAAATTTCATAGAAAACAGACGAATTTCAAGGTTTCGCGTCAAATGTATATTATAAAGACTCACTGTCGCCCCGATCAAGAAATAAAACGATCGATCGTACACACGTTCCGGTGTGTTCTTTTCGTGACACTCAACACGGTGCAGCGTATCAACAACGATCGGATCGGAACAAAGTTTTCCATTTCTTTAGCGTACACTCTATACCAGGTACATGATACAATGTTTTCAACACGAACCGGCGGCGGTTGACAATCCTTTTTTCTTTATTATTATTTTCATTTAACAATGATTTATAGCACAACGCGATACAGGCGAGACCCAGCCCACGTATCGGACACAGTTGTTATTATTTTAATGGACGATATTATACCGCCCGTTTTGACGTGAATACGAGCGTCTGCAAAATGTTAAACAATAATATTATATCCATATACGACATACCCCTCCCCTTTTCTCCGGAGAATAGTAGCAAAGAAAATGACGTATTAAATCCTTAGGATGCCTATACAATGTATGGAAACAATATTACTATATGCATTTTATACGATATAACTACCTGATAATATCTAGATAAGACATGACATTATATGTATATCGTTATAAGTGTTGAGCTCAGTATACTCTTGTTATAATAATTATTCGTAAGTATTTGCGCCAATAGTTACCATCACGGTACATAAATCGATTACATTATATTATGTATCAGAGAACTAGAGGTGAAGGTCAAATAATATGCAATCAGAATATTATACCGATGGTGGATATAAATTAATGAGCGATAATGTGATTATGATGTACAACATATCTATAAAAATATATATATATATATTATATACATATTATGATATTTAATATATAAGCGATACGCTTATACGAATAGATTTTGAAATATTAATAAAAGTATACCTTACCGTCCTTACCTACCTACCTATCAGGGAATGGCACACACTTTATTTTCATAATCGACAGTATTGCATTCGTAAATTACATACATATCTAACCGTTGCATTAATTTCAGCTCAGCGATTAAAGCATACATTTTGCACACAGCACCGTCATCTATACTGTTGTGTACAGAGTTACATACTTAATATTAATTATTCTTAATTACATTATACATCAATCTGTCGACGACGCGATACGAACATTAATCCGCAAAAACAAACGCGAAGATAAATGGATTTTTTATTTTCCTTTACATATAATATTCGGCACCGTGAATTTCTTGGCGTAGATGTATAATAATACATTTAATGTGTGCGTGCATTGGTATTCGAGTCGTGCGAAAATCAATTGGAATGCGATGTGAAAGTAACAGTACGCGCATGCCGACACTGCGTGCGAGAAATTGCTCAAGGAAAACGGATTTGATGTTTAAAAAAAAAAAAAAGCGATCCCGGCCACATAAGACGTTGGATTTGAGAAGATACAGGACACACACGAGGGAAACACTGCTGTCGCTCAATACAACACTACTCTTTTGAACGATGAATATCCATCGCGGGGAAAAGGATGAATGAGATGATAGGAACAACGGTATGCGATTGGTTCCGGAACCGAAGAGTACGTGTTTGGATAATCTCCGTGAATATCAAAACGTTGATTTCGTTTATTCTACAATTAAAACACTTTTGTTTCGCATCGGTATATCGTATATAAAAATAAAACAGAAACCAATAATGTTGTATTTTGTATCCTCGAGTTCCCTGAGAAATAATCTATCGACTATCAGCCTATACATATACTATGTATGAACTCAATTAATGTCATGCTATTAAAGTTTAACGTATAAAAAATGATAACAACAACCTACAAGGAAAACTAACTACAAGAAACAATAAATTAGGTCCCTCGGGGTTACGCTGTACCTGGTTAATGAGACAAAGTCACAGGTATGATACGAGCAGAACGTTTTCCTCTTAGATGATAGCAAAACACACAACAATATTATATATCTATATATTAGGAGMGACTATAATATAAATATATAAGTGGGTCAACCGCAATGGAACATCTAAAGGTACGATCTCCAACGCTATTTCAGGTCAGCACATAAATATAATATTAAAACTGATATTAAAAATGATTTAAAATAAAAATAAAACCTTATCCAACATAAGCCAGGTCAACAATCTAATTATAAAATAACAAATCGACAAAAAATGTTTTATAGAACTCGTATTAGCACAATAAATTGAATAATGTATATGTATATATGATAATATTATTTACTAGGTAAAATATACTATAATTCTAAAACTGCATGGTACTTGCCTAAAATAGGAATTAGAATGAACATGTACATATGATATTATAGATTAGGTATAGAAGATATTGCGGTAGAGCCAAATTATTATACAACCTATCACCACGTGTGAATCCACCTGAAAAAATCCATGAAATATGTGTAAATTAAACAAATATTTAATTTGTTTAAATACTATTAAAAAATAATAGTCTCACATTCTCTCACGATACGTTCACACATTACGCTATTTATAATATCATAAAATAATAAAAATAGTTGGATTTTAATAATATTGATATAGCGCTATTATTTGGGATTCAAAATAATAACGACGACATTGAACTCGTTGTTATACGGTATTTTTTTAATCGCTTTTCTTCTACTATAACAGCGGTTCTCAACCTTTATATAGTCACGTACCACCTACACAATTTGAAAATTTKTACDTACCACCTGACAATTTTTTCGCTTATTAATAATGTATACGTTTATGTGTTATGTATAGAATTTTGTTAATAAATTAATTTTTTATAAAGGTAGATTTTCTTCACGTACCACCTATGAGCTTTCCGCGTACCACAGGTTGAGAAGCGCTGTACTATAATATAATATTATATTAGGTACGATACCGATATTATAAGAGATCGTTACGTAACACAACGAACGAACGCCATTACTTGTTCATTCGAAGCGGAATCCGCTCCGGCATCGTTCACACCGAACACGCGTATGTTATCTATGTTATCCATGCTACTCTTCTCCGGTCGCGGGAGACCCGGAACTTAGTACGACAGCATCATTCCCGAAACCGGTTCGTGACTGCAGCAACATAATATTATAATGACGTGCGGCGAAGAAGGAACAACACACGAAACAAAATTTAATGCGTAGGATACGAAAAAAAAAAACCACCGGTCCATCCTAGTTGGGCATTGGGTGCCAACGAGGGAAAACGGACTGCTATGCGGCCGGGCGGGAGATTAAGTTTTTATTTTTTTTTAAGAGAAAAAATAAACATTACCTAGCTGCAGATATATCTATTATACAGGTATATCTATTATAATTTATTAAACCGACCCGTGAGCTACTACGGTTCCATCCTATACACTACTGTCGCCAGTGTACATCATTATTTTGTGTTATGACTCTGATAGGCAAGGCGATGATGAACGTTTTTCAAACGTGCCAAAGAACTGGTTTCTATAGTGGGTGGTTTGGGCGTTAAAGTCGTGGATTGTAAAATTGTATTCGTGAAGAACTCTCAAGGCTGGCATTTCACGTGCAAGTTTAAACAGTATGCCAAGGTATATAATATATGAATAACTTCGTCCGATAAACAGTGTTAT